TATATATATATATATATATATATATATATATATATATATATATATATATATATATATATATATATATATATATATATATATATATATATATATATATATATATATATATATATATAGGGTAAGGCTATTCTGTAGCTGGCCATAGAATAAGTTATTCTGTAGCCACCTCCATTTACGATAATTTTATATACTAATTTACCATAAAGTAAATACATATTTACGATAGTTGTGTTACTATAACACATGAGGATATTTACCATAACGTTATAGTAAATCACTTAGTAAGGAGTTACTGTAATCTCGTAAATTAGTATAGTAATTATCGTAACTCAAAGTGGCCACATAATAAGTTATTCTATGACCAGCTGCAGAACGGTAGTTCTATATATATATATATATGTGTGTGTTCTTACCGTTCTATATATATATCTATATATATATATATATATATATATATATATATATATATATATATATATATATATGTGTGTGTGTGTGTGTGTGTGTGTGTGTGTGTGTGTGTGTTCTTACAAGAGCGCTCTATATTTTGACAGAGGACAAGTACATAATATTTTGGAATGCCCAGATGATTGAAGGACGAAGAACAACATTTCAGATGATTGAAGGATGAAGAACAATGTTTTTCTCTAGAGACCAATTTGTTTACATATAGTGTGTGTTTTGTTTTCAGTGAACTTTGTAATTAGTCAACCATTGTATATACAATAACATTTTATGTTATTCTCTTCTATGTACAGAATCATTTGTCTAATAAAAATATTCAATATTATCTGGTTTTGTCTAGAGATCTGTAGTTATTAGCTGTGGTTGATTGTTATAGAGTATATTTAATTGGCCAAGCTATTTGGCGGAAAAGAGTTACTATTTTGCAGCATTCATACAATTATAATAGCAAATCCTGAAAGCATATGGCATATTTTCACAGCAACACATATGTGTTGGTGAAACATGGACACATCCGTTGTTAGCTTGCAACACTTATATACATCATTTACCAACGCATATATATGCGTTGCAATAGAACCTTGCAACGCCACTTTTACCAACGCATATAACATGTGTTGGTATAGACCATAACAACACTTATTTGAGTTTTTAGCGGGGTGTTCCTCTTGTAGTGAAGCGATCAGGGCCGATGTGAACAAGGCCGTGATCAGACTAGTGCCGGGGTTATTTTTAACTCTTATTTTGGAAGCAAATGTTTATAAACCCATGATCAGACAAGCCCATGTCTGAATTGATCTATAATCTCACTACTGAGAAACACCCTATTTGGCATGTAGAATAACATGCCACCAAGCTAGGTTGCAGACTGCTTGGTTGGAAGGAAGGAGAGGCGTCGACCATGTGCTTGTGGGCACAGCACTCGCAGCTCCGGCGGATCTTTTTGACCTCGTAACAGAAAAGGAGAGTGGGGTGAGCCAAGGAAGCATCTCTTACAAGTCGAGATGCGAGCAAACTACAGTTGCTTTCACTTCACTCCAAAGCTTTGCTTGCTTATTGTTCTCTCTGCTGGTAGCTGGTCTCCTGCTGCTGATCTACCAATCCTGATCTGCAGCCAAGCCACCGCTCGGCTCCACCAGCCATAGGCTGTCACTCCTTGCAATACTATGTTGCAAGCATTCGCCCTATGATTATGGTGATAACACTGACAGGAAACCTATGCGGCCTGTTAGATTGATCTCTATCAATTGGCCACGGTCAATTGGGTCCTCGGATACACGTCCTGATCGGGGGCGCCCAGCCGCTCCATGATTGGTGGGCCTCTGTCGCACAGCGCCACAAAAAGAGAGGTAGGGGCCGAGGCACAAGGCACGAGGTTCACCTGAGCCGCCAGACACCCCACCTACATCCTAACCCTAGCCGATCTAGAGGGGGGACGCTGCCAGCGACGGGAAACTCCGCCATCGGCCACCACAGCCTCTGCACTGCCGGCACCGCGACAGCGCCTTCACCGCGCCACCGACGAGCAATCCCATGGCCAGCTCATCTTCTACGAAAGCGACCGATGATGGTTTGCACCTCCGCAACCCCTATCTTTCTCTCACTCTATCTGTAAACCCCGTACTAGTTCATGTTCTATAACTCGCTATTTATCCTAAATGTTAGTTATACCTACTAGATCTACTGCTAGATGATCCTGATGATCCTGTAATGTCTATCACGGCCAACACTGGGACATGCTGAGATCACTTTTGCCTGTTTATCGGGCGATCACCAGTGTGGTTATAGGTGATGGTGCCTCTACTTCATTCTGGCATGATGTGTGGAACGGTGACGACCCACTGGCTGACACCTTCCCGGAACTATATAGCCATTGTCAAATGAAGGAAATGACAGTCCAGCAAGCACTAGAAGGAGCTATCCATGGCAGTCTGGTGCCTAGACGGTCGCAAGCTGCGACGCAGCAGCTGTCACAGGTATCTGAACTTCTACAACAGCAGCAATTCAGCACATCCAAGGATTGCCGGCAAAGTCCACTTTGCAAGCGCAATGGTGACCTCGATACTTCCATGCTATACAAGACGCTGAAGACAGCTAACTCCAGTCAGGATCCTTGGGCAAATTTTGTATGGAAGAACAAGGCACCACAAAGAGTGAGGTTCTTTGCATGGCTACTGTCGCAAGGAAGAATTCAGTGCAAGACAAATTTGATTAAGAAGAGAATTGTAGACAACACAGTATGCGATGTCTGTCACGCAGCGGAGGAGACGCCCGTCCACATCATCTTTGGATGCACTGCTGCACACCAATTCTGGGATGCCGATCAAATACAGACACAAGCTGATTGTAGCAGAGAACATACCTTTCATCTGATGCTAAAATGGGCTCTAGTCCCGGTATTTTTTGCGCCCGGGACTAGAGTTTAGTCCCAGTTGGAGACACCAACCGGGACTAAAGGTGGACCTTTACTCCCGGTTGGAGCCACCAACCGGAACTAAAAGTCCTCAACCTTTAGTCCCGGTTGGTAACACCAACCCGGACTAAAGGACCCTTTAATCCCGGTTGGTAACATCAACTGAGACTAAAGGTCCCCCGATGGGTTAGTTTAAAAGGGAAGCATCACATGCATTGTTAGATGTGTTGTGTAAGTGGGGTGGTAAGCTATGCGCGAGGCAATGCATAGGGTCTTGGGTTCGAATCTCACGGGACGCAGCGGTGGGAGGCATTATTTTTTTTAAAAACTGAGATGATCTTTAGTCTCAGTTGATGTTACCCACCGGGACTACCTTTAGTCCTGAATGTTTGCTCCCGGGTGGGAAACCAGGACTAGAGGGGGTTCCCCACCGGGAGTGATGATCTTTAGTCCCAGTTGATGTTACCCACCGGGACTCCCTTTAGTCCTGAATGTTTGCTCCCGGGTGGGAAACCAGGACTAAAAAAGGTTCCCCACCGGGAGTAAAGCTCTGTTCTCTACCAGTTGGCCAATCCAAAAACTGCAGGAGATTGTGAGGCCAGGACATATACCGAGCAAGCACTTCGGGACTTTCTTGATGCTTCGCTGTTGGCATATTTGGAAAAGGAGGAACAATACGGTTTTCAGGGAGGATCGGACAACACTAACTGCGACTCTGTCATCTTGTAAATCAGAGGTCGCTCTGTGGAAAGCTCGACTACCAAAGAAGGACAAGGAGGTAGCAGATGCATGGTGCTCTATTTTAGCTACGGCAATGTGAATGTAATCTAAGCATGTAGCAAACATTATTTCAAATATCTGGCTTTAAGAGCCACAATCAATACAGCCCAGGTGGGGGAGCCTCCCCACACCACACACATATATATATATATACTGTTCTGTAGCTAGCATAGAATAACTTATTCTGTGGCCACCTTGAGTTATGATAATTACCATGTTAATTTATAAGATTACAGTAACTCCTTACTAAGTGATTTACTATAACATTTAGCCTGTTCGCTTGCTCGTAAACGATCGTAAATTTCCAGCCAGGAACAGTGTTTTTCTCTCACACCAAACCAGCCAGCAGTAAATAATCCACGATACGATACGGCCTCCCGAACAGGCTGATTATCGTAAATATCACCGTGAGTTGTAGTAACATGAGTATCGTAGATATGTATTCATATTATCGTAAATTAATACAAATATTATTGTAAATCAACGTGGCTATAGAATAAGTTATTAGAATAGCCTTACACTATATAGAGAGAGAGAGAGGGGTGATAATCTTCATTAAATGCGAGATTATACTCATGGTCCAAGCTCGCCCTATGATAATGATAATCAACAGTTGTTCAGGAGTACCATCCTGTTCCTGTACAGTGCGAAGCATGGAAAGGCGTTGCATTAACTGACAACATCCAAACGTGCCTTTCCTTCTTGCCTGGCGAAGTGCAATGCAGTACAACATATGAATGCCGAGGTGCTCACCTTAACATTAACACAAGTACAGTGTGCAGAAGAACTTGATTGCTCCAGGATCCTAGGCTTTAGGCTCCCCTAACAGTTCAATTCTAGGCCTAGTTTAGATTTCAAGTTTTTTCACTCTCTCTTCGTCACATCAAATCTTTGGACACATAGAGTATTAAATGTAAATAAAAAAATAACTAATTACACGGTTTGATTGTAAATTACAAGACGAATCTTTTGAGCCTAGTTAGACCATGATTGAACAATAATTATCAAATACAAACAAAAGTGCTACAGTGTCAAATACTGATTTCTTACACCCATCTAAAGAAGGCCCTAACAGCAAAATGGAGATCAGAGGCTTGATATGTACACAACAGTGTCCTACGAGGCTATGATGCATACCACACCAGAAATTCCGGGGCCTAGATTTCACACCCTACAGCTACCTAAATGCAGATGGATAAACACAAGATATCTGAATCTCACACCACCCTAATTAAGTGCAGAGACCTAAAACACCAGGCCCTAAGCTAGAAATATCCAAACATCCGAATTTCACCAAGAGAAGGAAACATAGGAACGATAGAAACCAAACTTGACACAGCTCTCACATGCTGATGGGATCAGTAGTCGGCGAAGACTGCGAGCTCGGTTGCTGCTGCTGCTCTTTGGTGGCTTCGTCATGCGGCGCTTCGACAGATCCATCTGCTGCTGGAGGATCAGATGGCGCGGCGGAACCATCATCACCGCTGGGAGGTTCGTCTCCTTGCCTTGCAGCTGGCTTCGGAAGCTCGCTGAGCATCTGCACCACCTCCCGCATCGTAGGCCGCTGCACGCTCTGCTCCTCGACGCAGAGTAGCGCGATGTAGAAGACGTGCATCACCTCGTGCACTGGCACGATTGACAGCCTGGGGTCCATGATCTTGATCACCTGCTCCTTGTTTGCATCCGTCGTCGTCTTGACCCACTGGACAATGTCGACGCCGTCCCCAAACTCCCCTACTGGCTTCTTTCCGGTGACCAGCTCAAGAAGAACGACACCAAAGCTGTAGACATCGCTCTTCTCATCGACCTTGAGGGTATATGCATACTCTGTAGATCCACAGGATAGCAATCCAATAAAGGATTGGTTGATTTCAGGAATTCTCTACTCATGTAGATATAAAAAAAAATCTATATTTCTAATATATCAGAACAAGGAAACAAACTTTAGCTATATAGCAGTAAGTAACCAGATCCATAAAGGAATACCATGTTTCATTAGCTAAACTGAAGAATAAACTAAAAGGGGCTAAGTAGTAACAGGTGGCAACACATTTAATCTGTAGACAACAAGAAAGACTTAAAATAGACAATTGTGAAGCAGTACTATGGTGCCAATAATTCTGCAAAACAAATGCGAACTGTAATAAGAATTAAAATTTTACCTGGAGCAATATAGCCATAGGAACCGGCAATGGCAGACATACACTGTGATGCGCCAGAGTCCTGCAAGAACTTGGCGAGCCCAAAATCAGCAACGTGTGCTTGAAAATCGGAATCAAGCAGAATGTTGTTTGATTTAACATCACGATGCAGGATCGGCGGCGAGCAATCATGGTGCAGGTAGCTGAGCCCCTTGGCAGCCTCAACAGCGATCTTGTATCGAGTGTCCCAGTGGAGATGGCCACCTTTCTTGCCATGGAGTAGTTCCCCCAGGCTCCCATTGGGCATAAACTCGTACACCAGGAGATTTGTCTCATTGTTCGAGCAGAAGCCAAGCAATCTCACAATGTAGCGGTGCCGGATCCTCCCAAGAGTCTGAATCTCAGCAGAGAACCCATGGTCATGCAACGAGCCACGGCTCATCGACGAAAGCCGCTTCACTGCAACATGCTCACCATCTGGCATTGTCCCCTTGTACACAATCCCAGCTCCACCTTTGCCGATGATGTTCTCCTCCTTCAGACTATCTAGCACATCGTCACAGGTGAATTCAAGGCGCTGGAACGCAGTGAGTCTCCACGCACGCGCCTCGCTGGCCTTCTTCAGTGACCGGGCCTTCCAGATTGCCATGGCAGCAAACGCAATGGAGCAGACAAGCAAGCCGAGGACGATGAGCAACTTGAAGGTATTGGACATGCCACCATGGGTGTGTGCACCATGGCCTGTGCCGGCGCCACCAGAATGGCATGGTCCAAGGTACGGCCCACACAGCCCCGGGTTGCCGACGAACGACGTCGCATTGAAGTAGCTGAACTGCCCAGTTGCCGGCACGAGGCCAGACAGGTTGTTGTATGAGAAGTCGACGGCCGTGAGGCTCTGCATTGCAGCAATGGTTGCCGGTATCTCTCCATCAAGGTGGTTCCGGGACAGGTTCAGGTAGTTGAGTATTCGCATGCCAGAGATGGCCGGCGGTATCTCCCCGGACAGGTTGTTCCGGCTGAGGTCCAGGTAGGTGAGCAACCGGCATTTCCCAATCTCCGGCGGCACACCGCCGTCAAGCACATTGCCGCTCAGGTCAGCCTTAGACAACTGCTGCAGCCGGCCAATCTCTGGCGGTACTGCGCCGGAGAATGCATTCTGGTCAAGAAGCAATTTTTGCAAACCTGAGAAATTCCCAATGGACGCCGGCAGCGCGCCGGTGAGCTGGTTATTGGAGAGAGTGATGGCCCCCAGATTCGGCGCGCCGGTGCCGGTCACCGCCGGGAAGCCGCCGGACAGGAGGTTGTCCTGCAGCTCAACCTGCGTCAGATTCGGCAGTTCAAAGAGACCCTCCGGGATGGAGCCGTTGAGGTAGTTCTCGCCGAGGCGGATGCGGGAGAGTGCCTCGCATTTCCCCAGTGATTCCGGGATTGAGCCGAAGAGGAAGTTGCCGAGCGCGATGAGCGTCTCCAGCTTGCCCCCGGCGCAGAGCTCCGGCGGAGGGTGCCGGTGAGCCTGTTGGACGAGAGGTCGACCAGCTGGAGCAGTCCGTTGCGGCCGAGACGGCGCGGGATGCCGCCGGTGAAGTTGTTCTCCCAGAGCTGCAGCACCTCGAGGCTTGGCAGGTCGCCGACGAGCTCGGGGATGCTGCCCCTGAGCTTGTTGCGGAAGAGGTTGAGCAAAGTGAGGTTCTTGAGCGCGGCGAAGCTCGCTGGAATCTCGCCGGTGAGCGCGTTGTTGGACAGGTCCAGCGAGCTGAGGCTCCTGAGCCGACCCAGCTCCGACGGAATGGCGCCGGCGAGCCCGTTCACCTGCAGGAAGAGCGTGTCGAGGTTGGCAAGATTCCCGAGCTCCGGCGGAATCTCGCCGGAGAGCCCGCAGTTGGCGGCGTCGAGGCGGACGAGATCCGTCATGTTGCCGAGCTCCGGCGGAATCCCGCCAGAGTAGCTGTTGTAGTAGCCAATGTAGAGCTCCCTGAGGCTGGTGAGGCCGCCGAGCTCCGGAGGGATCTTCCCCGACAGCTCGTTCCCGGAGACGGCGAGGTACTGCAGCCTCCGCCACCGGCCGTACTCGGGCGGGATCTCGCCGGAGAAGAAGTTGCCGCCGAGGTGGAGGTGGCGGAGCATCGGCAACGCGACGACCTCGAGCGGGAGCGGGCCGGTGAGGTTGTTGTTGTAGAGGTCGAGCACCCGGAGCGCGCACAGGCGCTCGAGCGGCGGCGGGAAGGTGCCGTTGAGCACGTTGTTGGAGAGGTTGAGGTGGGTGAGGGACTGCAGCCTGGACAGCGGCGCCGGGATGGGGCCCGAGAGCGCGTTCGCGGCGAGGTCGAGGCGCGCGAGGTGCGCGAGGTGGGACAGCGCGGCGGGGACCGGGCCCGAGAGGTTCCGGCCGGAGAGGTCCAGCCCGATGACCGCGGCGCGCGCGTTGCACGTCACGCCGGACCACGCGCAGGGGCCGGTGGCGTTCGTCCAGGACGCCAGCGCGCCGGCCAGGTCAGACAGCGCCGCCTTCGCCGCCAGCAGCGCGTCCGCGTCGGCCGTGGCCGCGACACCGGCAGCCCCCGCCACCGCGGCGGCGGCGGCGGCGAGGAGGAGGAGGTGGTGGAGGTGGAGGCGCATTGGCATTGGCATTGGGTTCGTTTCGAGGCTCCGTCTCCGCCGGGAGAGTGGAGACAAGGGAGTGAGGCCGCGCGGCCCGCGAGAAAAGGAGAGAGCTTTACGATAGGCTCGGCTGGTCGTTTTTGGTGGCTGTTTAGTAACTAAAATTTTGTAAGATTTCTCGTTACATTAAATTTTTAAATATATATATAAAGCATTAAATATAAATAAAAAATAAAACTAATTATACAGTTTAAATGAAATTCACAAAACAAATCTTTTATATCTAATTAAACTATAATTAGATACTAATTACTAAATAACAATAAAAATGCTACGTATCATTTCTTAAAATATGGGGGTGTTTGGTTCTTTAGTCGCTCCTAAAATTTATGTCACATCAAATGTTTAGAGGCTAATAAGGAGCATTAAATATAAATTAATTACAAAACCAATTATATAGATGGAGGCTAATTTCCGAGACAAATTTTTTAAGCCTAATTAATCTATCATTAGCACATGTTTACTGTAGCACCACGTTGTCAAATCATGGACTAATTAGGCTTAAAAGATTCGTCTCGTAAATTAGTCGCAAGTTGTGCAATTAGTTTCGTAATTAGTCTATATTTAATACTCCATGCATGTGTTAAACATTCGATGTGACAGAAATTTTAGGAGGAGGAGAAGGAACCAAACAGGCCCTATTTCGGCTTTGGCTGAAACAGCACACTGACACACCTACTCAGTAGGCCGCTAGTGCGGCTATAAAAAAGCATGTGATTCCTTATTGGATTTTCTGGAGGGAAAGAAGTGTTCTTTTGAGAAACTTGTATTTTCTTTCTTTTTTTAACAAAAAAAACTTGTTCTTTTGTTTGGTGATTTGGTTAGTTTTTGTATGGCTTTCTTTACATTATTGGGATGGTGTATTGTTAGTTGATTTGGATTTTGTTTATGAAAAGTTGCTTTCTGGGTTGATACAGTACGTGTTTACAACCAGGATCCGGGATCCAGGTGCTGTTTGATTGATGTCATAATGGCCCTGTTCATTTCTCTTCCATTCCATCTTTTTCAGCTTGTTTTTTCACAGTGTTTTTCTCTCGCAATAAATCAACTGGAACAGTGTTTCGACTTGTTTTTTCAGCGAAGCGAACGGGGCCAATGTGTTTCAGCAATGCTATTGTTTGTTAGCAAGTTTTCGAAGGATGAAACAAAAGTTTGTTAATAGCTTCAACAAATTAAGAGATGGTTAAAAAGCTTGTAGAGAGGGTTTTATTTCGGCTCCAATTAACTTTGCTGAATGTTTGAGACAAAAGAAGAACAGCTTGTTTCCTTCTTCGTTTCGCTGTCCCAACCTTAAGTTCAAGGACGCTCGCAATGGATATGATTCGTAAGGTAGCTCTAAATATTTTTTATATTTTAATAGAAGAGTGAGAAAAACTAGGTTTTATCAAGAGCTAGACTCATACATACATTTCAAGATCATGTGAGAGCGTTATAGGAGACTATCCATATTATGAGCTATATACGCAAAGAAACAATATTTTTCTCTCACAACAAATTAGTATTAGCAGCAGCCAAATTTCAACGAAACGAACAAGGCCAGCGTTATTGAGGAAGTTGGCTTAGAGCCTTAGAGCTGGTAACTAGCTTATACCATTGTGGGTGACCGATAGGTAACCAAAGGTAGTATTGTGTTTTTGCACAGCTTGCTCGTCAGATTCTTTAAATTAGAAATAGAATTAAAAGAAATTAGGTTTTCAATGTTATTAGTACAAAAAAAACAAAAAAATGTAATTTCCTTCGGAACCGTTTGACATTGATCAAGTCTCTCGGTAGTCTATTGTGATTGGTTTTCAATATGCAGACGGATGTTGCCATTTGTCAAAATATATATACACCCGGGAGTGGCTCAGACACCCAAACTCTTTTACAACTATTTGGAGCACTAGGCAAATATGGTGGGCGGATGCAGAATGAGTGAGTGATTAGTTATGCGTGCGATTAGTGAATATGCGGATTAATATTTCTCAGGATCTTTTACAGGCTGGCGAGACCAACAGTTCAGTCGGTCGCGTGACTATGCTTGTGTCAGTCCTACTCGGTACTCACCGTATGCATCACTAGCTCTCTTCAGAACCAGGCTAACCTGGTCATCTCCCTCGCTATCCTCAGCCACGTACACACAGGACTCAGGCTCTATTGTCTCCCCAGGCAGTTCCACCTGAAGGGAACACTTCTCTACGCCACAGGGTTCTCCACAAACGCCGCTACCAGGGTTAACACGAGAACAACACATGCAGAGGTTTCTCCTCTAAGGTCGCTAGCATAGAGACATCGCCCCATATGAACGAGTTTTAAGGAATGCAGGGATTAAAACAGGGAAGCTTAGTTCATTTCCACATAGCAAATTTACATACGGCTTTCTCTTTTAAAAGGATCTAGGATGCCGCCTAGAGGAAGGGTGAATAGGCGTTTCTAAAAATTAACACATTTAAATGCAGAAACAATTAGAAAAGGAAGTTTCCAAAATGGAAAGTCCATATTAAGAGTAATACTATCCCTCACAAGTTAGCCACAGAGTAAACAAGGTATAAAGAATATATTTTCAGCACAAGTAGAAAATACCGGACTTGTCCGGTATGAATACCGGACGTGTTCGGTATACACGGTTTCTGCAAAGCAGCCCCAAACTTGCTCCTTTCGATTTCTATCTTCAAGCCAAACTGCGGGTAAATACTAGAGATGACAATATACATAGAGAACCTACACAAGAGCTTAAGCAACACAAATATCAAATGAAATACGAATTGAGACACGATATTTGTTTTACCGAAGTTCAGACTCGTTCAAATCCTACTATCCGTTGAGGGGGCTGCGGGCGACCCAGCGAAGGTCAGCCCTAGATGGTACCACGAAGGTCACTCTAGCTAGAGTCTTTTTCAACTCATTTTCCTCCTTCCACTGGTTGATTCCGAGGCGGCGGAATCGACCGTTACAAACTTTCTGAGGCACACCACAATCTCTTGGGTGCTCTCCGGCGACACCTAACCATTTAGGACCGAAGAGTCCAAGAGTAACAAATGCAAATCATGAAATAGACAATAAGTACAAGTGCTCAAGTGGTGGCTTTCTCTCTTTTTCAAATTCTCTCTTAACCCATAAATGGATTTTGCGATTTGGATCACACACTCACTAAGAGAGGGTTTGAGAGAGTTGGCAAGGCTCAAAAACGTGTATGTGTATCAGCAGAATCAGCAGCCTCCAAAGGTGGAGGCTTGGGGGTATTTATAGCCTCCTTAGAAAAACTAGCCGTTTTATATCCGTTTATGACTTACACTGCGCCAACGATAACTGAGTTACAGTAACGTTGTGAGGCGTCGGAACTCCCGATGAATGCCGGAACTCCCGACTGTCGGAACCCCCAACCTTCAGCACATTTGAAAACTACGGTTAAGTTTATCTCTTTAGAATTGATGCCGTCTCTTTTAATCTTCATCAAGTGAGGTTGCCAACATGTTGATATACACTTGAGCATAGCCATCTTGAGCACATGACTTAATTCCATTCATCAAATATGAATAACTCCAAATGCATCAAGTCACTTACAACACTTTGTCCAATATAGATTTGATCCTCCACATCAATATGACCATCGTAACTTGATTAGTACCTCAACTAAATGCAAATACTCTCTTCTTCACCCTAGCTAGGTTCTTCGGCCGTCAAGCCGTCGCTTGCCCTTCACCGTTGCTTAATACCTCGAAGCCTTTCCTTGCTATCTTCACCATCTCAAGCCATCAAGTCACATCTAGTGTTCAATCATCCATTCATTTCAATTTAGCAAGCTTCAAATATGAGACCATTCCATATACAATCCCTCATGTCTCATTAATTAATTCTTACGAGCTTTCTTTCACATAGTACATGGAAATCCCACAATAAATGAGCCTTTGCATGAATTCCATTTGTATTGTTGTCTTGTGCTTGAACTAGATTGTTTATACAACAATACATCATTTTGGCTTTCATTAAGTACCTGTGAGATAACCTATTACCTGTCCACACTTAGCAAACGGGTTAGACCTTTAATCACGTTGTCATTCAATCATCCAAAACCCACTAAAGGGCTAGATGCAATTTCAATCTCCCCCTTTTTGGTGATTGATGACAACTTGATTAAAGCTTACAAAAGAATATAAACATTTAAGCTTTTAGGTTCAATGATTTATGAGAGACTCCCCCTTAATATGTGCTTATGATTAGAATTTACAAAATGACCTCAAATGTCAATTACGCATACTAAAATATATAGGAGACTCCCCTAAATCATTGCATCCGTGGGGTGCATGTGTGTGTGACAAAGTAAAACCGTAATGCATATGACAAGATATATCATACAAGAATAAATATAAAGGCATCACATCAAATATTTTTATTCTAGCATGCATAGTCCTTATGAAAATAAATATAACACATGTATGTCACACATAGCACTCATTACATATTTTCTCATGTCCACAAGCCACTAATATATAAATAAAGATCATGTCTTAAGAGATACATAGATAAAGCATAAGTTAGTCTCATCTCTCACATGATACAATCTATCTCAAACTCAAGAAACATTAATGAAGCTTAAAAAACTATAGCCTACAATACATATCTTCAGGTACAAAGATGAGCAAATGAAACAAATCATGAAGCTTTAATCAGTCTCTCTCCCCCTTTGTCATCTATCATCACAAAGATCCAACAATGACATACTAAGGACAAAGGGGCTACAAGTTGTTTCTAAAAGTTGTGATCACTCATCATCATCTTCATCTCCACTAACATCCTCATCATCTGAGCGTGGAGCACCAACTGGACGAGAACCACCTCCACCAGACGGGTCATAGCCACCAGACCCATAGTAGCCAAAACCACCCGTGAGGTCACCCCACCAATCTAAAGCATACTCGTCTACAACACTGGGACGTGGCTGAGAGTGAGTAAGCACCCGTGCTTGTAGTGGTAAAGTGTCAGGGTGCTCT